AAGGTTAGCACTGTTGCTACTCTCCTAGGCGTGGTCGTCCTGTAAAAATGACTGCAAGAGCACAGCGCAGAATGCTGCATGAGGTAAAGAAGAATCCCAGAGTGTCAGCTAAAGACCTACAGAAATCTCTGGCGCATGCTAACATTTTTGTTGACACATCTACAATAAGGAAAACATTAAACAACAATGGAGTACATGGGAGGACACCACGGAGGAAGCCATTGCTGTCCAAAAAGAATATTGCAGCACGTTTGAAGTTTGCAAAAGAGCACCTGGATGTTCCACAGCACTACTGGCAAAATATACTGTGGACAGATGAAACCAAGATTGAGTTGTTTGGGAAGAACACACAACACTATGTGTGGAGAAAAAAAGGCACAGCACACCAACATCAAAACCTCATCCCCACTGTAAAACATGGCGGAGGGAGCATCATGGTTTGGGGCTGCTTTGCTGCCTCAGGGCCTGGACGGATTGTTGTCATTGATGGGAAAATGAATTCCAGAGTTTATCAAGACATTTTGCAGGAAAACGTACGACCATCTGTCCGCCAACTGAAGCTCCGCAGAGGATTGGTGATGCGACAGGACAATGACCCAAAGCATACAAGTAATTCAACAAAACAATGGCTGCAACAGCACAGAATACGCCTTCTGGAGTGGCCCAGTCAGAGTCCTGACCTCAACCCGATTGAAATGCTGTGGCATGACCTTAAGAGAGCGATTCACACCAGACATCCTAAGAATATTGCTACACTGAAACAGTTTTGTGAAGAGGAGTGGTCCAAAATTACTCCAGATCGTTGTGCATGTCTGATCTGCAACTACAGGAAACGTTTGGTTGAGGTTATTGCTGCCAAAGGAGGGTCAACCAGTTATTAAGTCCAAAGGTTCACATACTTTTTCCTCCCTGCACTGTGAATGTTTACATGTTATGTGCAATTAAATCATGGTAACATCTAATGTTTGTGTAGTATTATGTTCAGCAAACTGTGTTCTTCTATTGTTGTGACTTATATGACGTTCAGAGCACATTTTATGCCCAATTCATGCAAAACTCCACGTTAATCCCAAGGGGTTCACATACTTTTTCTTGCAACTGTATATTTAAATTGTATATGCTACATACTAATTACAATGCATGAACACCTGTTAAGGCCACAATTGTATCTACAAGCCAAGTGGAGGGCCTATCATAGTTACATAGGTGGTGAGGTTGAGTAAAGACACCAGTCCATCCAGTTTAACCTGTGTGGGTGTGGGTGTTTATGTCAATTCCATTTCCCATATTCCTGCATATTTCATTAACTAAGATGCCCATTGAAAAGATCAACACTCCCCGCAGACACCACCAACTCTGAAAGTAAAGAACCTCTTATGCAGTTTAAGGTTAAACAGCTGCCCATCCAACTTCATTGACTGGCAATATGTCCTCATGATCTGAAACTGAATGCTAGAATCACTATTGAGATATTGTTTATTGCTACCCTATCTCCTTTATAGTGTCTCTTCTCCAGGGAGATTGAGTCTAATGTTTGTAGTTGTTTCTCATGGCTGAGGTCCTCCAGTCCCCTTTATTAGCTTTTTTGCCCTTCTTTTGACTCTCTCTAGTTCCAGCACATCCGTCCTGAGGACTGGTGACCAGAGCTGAATAGCATACCCAAGTTGTGGCCAGACCAGAGTTTTGTAAAGTGGTACAATTATAGTTTTTATCTCTTGAGTAAATCCCCTTTTTATTGCATGCTAATAGTCTGCTTGTTTTGCTTGCTGCAGATTGGTATTGCATGCTATTGCTAAGACACTGGTCCACTAGGAGCCACAGATCTTTTTTCATCCTTGATTTCCCCTAGAGGTTCTCTGTAACTTGCATTCATATTTTTAGCCCCCGAGTGCATCACTGCACATTTTTCAACATTGAACCTCATTTGCCATATAGCTGTCCACCCTTTAATTTTATTGAGGTCTTCTTGTAAAATGTCTATATCCTGCTGTGAAGTTATTGCCCTATTTAGCCTTGTTATAATCCCTGAGACTGAATTATTTATACCAATCTCTATACCATTTTTCAATAAATTGTTCCCAGCACAGAGCCTTGGGGTACAACTCGACCATTCTGAGTACACACTTCCTCAAAGACTGTTAACAGACTGGTCTGGAAAGAACAGTCTTTCAAAAATCCATGCTGATTACTACTAATGATACTGTTTTTATAAGCAAATTATTGGATATAGTCCCTTATCATCCCCTCCAATAGTTTACACACTATTGATGTTAGACTGGCTGGCCTATAGTTCCCAGGTATACATCTCTGCCATTTTTAAAAAATTGTTATATTGGAGGCTTTTTATCAATCAGCTGGTACCTTTCCAGTCATTAAGCTGTCCTTGAAAAACTCATCGTAAATAAATTACCATGACCAGGTGGCTTACACTCGAGAGTCCTCAACGAACTTAGCCAGGGTATAGCCACACCATTATTCCTATTTTTTAAGTCTTTTTTGGACACGGGCTTCTGTTAGCCAAAAGGGTACATTCTGTGTTGTGTTACTAATAAAGTCTTGATTATTATACCCCTCCCTTTCCTTTGTAAAAACTTAGAAGATGAATGCATTTAGTACAGTTGCCTTCTCCTTGTCATTTATAACCAAGATCCCCTGATCATCTTTTATGAGGTAAATATGTTCTGAGCTCACTTTCTTACTATTAATACATGTAAAAACATTTTTTGGGATCTTCTTTACTCCCTTCTGCCATGTGTCTCTATGCTATATGTCTTTTTTTTTACAATTTCAAGTTCAAAAACAAGAGATAGCTATAGGTATCATTAAAAAAAACAGGGAAAGCCATACAAATGACATGGATAGCCTCCATCTAGGACGCTCCATGCGCAGGGATCCCTTTGATAAATGCATTGCAGTAGAGCAGACTAGCTCTTCTTTTGCAAGCTACTTTATGGATTTTTTTTTTTAATGACAGAATCTCTTCAAGGCCACCACAAGACACTTTTTTTGTGGAGGAAAAATTACCTTTGCATAGGGCTCCTTACAATATTGTGTAGGGGAAGGGTTCCTTACAATAATGTGTGGGTGACCATTTCCTTAAAATAATGCTAGAATTACTTTAAGGTTACTGCAGGCGACTCTTTGTATGGAGAATAAAAAAAAATCGCCTTTGCATAAGGGAAGGGTTCCTTACAATAATGCGTAGTGAAGGGAGCCTTACAATAATGCTTATAGGAAGGGTTAGTTACACTCTGTTATCATGTGGAACAGACTTCCACAGTGGCCAACTTAGATAAACATAGATATGATTCTAAAGGCTCAAAATATAAATTGCTACTAGTATTTATAAAAAGCAACATTGTAGAATTGTGATCCAGGGAGCTATCTGATGGCCTTTGCAGATCAGGAAAGAATTGGAAAATATTAATGGAAGATATTTTTCACTCCATTATTTGAATCTGTATTTGTATTATTGTATAGTTAGTATTTTTAATCCCCAGGTACTAATTTCCATAGAATCCAGTTTAATTTCTCCATGGAATTTTATACAGCAGCTTTATATTCCAGCTGACAGATAAATAGAAATGTACTGCCTATATGTATGTGATGATTATATTTAATTGACTGTACACATACACTCCATGAATCTTTATATTGCTGCCTTTTTTCCTATACGTATTATAAATAGAAAACAATTATTAGAAGCCACTACTATGTGCCATTTATATGATGATACTTTCAGGTCCCTTTTAAATCCAACCCAAAGGTAAACTAAATCATTTTACTCAAGTTAAAGATAGTTTCTTCTGTTTCAACAAATGATATTGGATTATTACAGTAAATAGCAAACAGTCTGCACTTAAAGGCGCTTCTGTGTTCTCTTTTTTTATTGGCAAATTTAATTGAGATTACATATAGAATGTACAGTGTGACAACAACAAATGTCACCAGCTTCTGTCAGTTTTTGCTACTTTTCCAATGTAATAAGAATTATTATCGCATCATCTCCCATATGAACGAGGCCTAACCGAAACAACAGTAAGGTTTTTGTACATTTTCCTACAGGATGACTAATTCATATTTATAGGGCCAATATCTATCTCAGGCATGCTGTCTTATTAAAAAAGGGCTTTGAAGGACCTTTGGAGCTGAACTCTGGAAACATTCATTTTTTCACTATTTGCCATGTAAAAATAATCATGGGAGTCCCATTACTGGCTGCTGCCTTTAATAAAACACTTACTTTCATTTAGCTTAAACACCACTGTAACCACTTCATTTTTTACTCAGAATCTTACAGTACCAATTCTACTACATTTATTATAGTGAGTTGCTCACCGTACACCTCCTCCATTCGCAAGACATTTTCCATTCTTTTCACAGAATGCACAACATTGATATACATGGTCTTAATGTTTATTTTGATCTTATCTGTGTTATTAGTGAATATTTGGGTGCTACTATTTATGTAGTTGTAATATTTTAGCCTTTTGTTTTTTATAATTGGGGGACACTTTTGAGAGCTGGTGATGCTTTTATTTACAGTTGCTATGTAGATATTTTCCACCCCGGTCGCCAACTTCTGAGATCACCATGGTGGTTGTAGACAGAGCAGAGAGAGACCATCGAGACCTAACACGTAGGATAGAGTCTATAAAGTGACATTATTATGCCAAAATTAGTACCGGTAAGTGGACTGGGTGGTGATTTGAGTGAAATACAGTTTTGCTCACATATATCAAGATATGTTAACTTTTTCTTCCCATGTAAGATTTTTCCATTTTTAAAATTCATATATGTTACAGTTTTTTTCTGTATTTAGGAAATGGAGGAATGGAATGGAACTCTGACAACTGAATTCATTCTAATGGGAGTCACCAACGTGGTATGGCTCAAAAATTTCCTCTTTGTTTTGGTCTTGTTTTTCTACGGGCTTGATATTTTTGGGGAATACTGTTATTATCTCCCTAGTGATCAGAGATGTTACTCTTCAGTCCCCTATGTATTTCCTACTAGCTAATCTTTCCTTTTTGGACATTTTATTTTCCACTGTTACTGTTCCCAAAATGATGTATGGATTTGTAATGGAAAACATCATTTCAAAAAATGGGTGCATTACTCAGATGTATTTTTTCCACTTTTTGGGATGTGCAGAAGGTGTCCTCTTGGCTGCTATGGGTTATGACCGGTATGTTGCCATTTGCCATCCTCTACATTATAATGCTATCATGGGAAAGACAACTTGTATTCTATTGGTATTCACTGCTTGGGTAACAGGCCTAACAACTTCATTAATACATACTGTAATGACATCACAGCTTCCATTTTGCAACAATAAAAAGGTCAAACACTTTTTCTGTGATGTTAAGCCAGTCATTAAGTTGGCTTGTAAAGACATTCATGTAAATGAGCTCACATTAGCCACTGTAAGTGGCTTCCTAAGTACAAGCACATTTCTCCTTACTACACTATCCTACATTTACATAATTGTTCATCTTTTACAAATAAGGTCTTCTAAAGGAAGGTCCAAGATTTTTTCAACATGTTCTTCCCACTTGACTATTGTCATCTTGTTTTATGGGACAGCAATGTGTACCTACCTGGGACCAGCATCTGAGAATTCTTTAGAAAAAGACAGAGTGGCAGCCATATTATTCACGGTTGTCACCCCAACACTTAATCCAATTATTTACACATTACGAAATAAAGAAGTTAGAAAGTCCCTAGAAAAAACTCTTAAAACTTCAAAATTTTGAGACTGACAAATGGGGAGTAAATCTGTTATGTATTGGTATCTCAGGTACCCATTGTAGAAGGCACAATGGTGCCAAATCTAATGAAAAATTAATACACTCCTTTTAATCTTATCAGAAATATAGTGTATGCTGTCTAAATGATCTGTCACATGTCTTGTTTTCATTAAAAAAAAAAAAATGAATATTCAACCATGTTTTCTATTCACATATCAAAGTAAATTGAATTAAATGAAAATTCTTTTGTTTAATAAAATGTTATTGTTTTTACATAAAAAAATAAACAGGATAGTACAGGCTCATGTAACAACCATTGACAGTTGAGTACAGCTTAACCAGGGTAGGCTGGCAGGAGAGAAAAGAAAAAGAATAAGGGGTAAGGCAGAAGGGGGGGTAGGTGACTAATGGGTTGAGCCAGCCGAAATTCCAATCTTGTGTAGCTCTTACCCCCTGGCCCACTGTTTTGGTCCCAAGATTCTTTCCTCTGTAAATGCACCAACAGCCAGGCATACAGTCTCAGTCACTCTTGATGCTTATTGAAAAACTTGAACTTGGATACTCCAGCAATGTTAGGCATTCTCAAGTTACTACTTATCTTCCTCCTAAAGATTCTGAGCAGAGCCCTTTCAACAGCAAATAATGGGCTGAACTACTCAGAGATACCTGCAAGAGGGACAGCAGCAGCACACAGTCACTTAGATTTCACACAGCAGTCTGTACTCACTAATGTCTTTGGATAGATGAATGCCTCCTTCCAATATCTGCCAGACATAACTCTTGTGAACTCCTCAGACTAGATCCCCAAAAAAGTCCCTCAATCAAGTTCAGTAGAATAGGCCCTCTAGCTAGCACAATTGTGACCTTGATGAGCAAAAGAAGAAGCACATCTGGACTGGCCAGATGGGGAGCAGTCCTTCAGGCCGGAATCTTCTGCTCCATGACATGAACAGGGCAGTTCCAGGCTTCAGACTATTTATCACTCCCAGCCACTCTCCCAGAAATTGGCTAGGGGGCCCACATAAATATTCATATTGTAGATGTTACTCTCCCATCCCACTACTATCCAGAAACATCCAGAAAACAGGGGAAGCATGCAAACCCATAGTCTGTGAAACTCAGACCAGAGTAAATTACATGCAGCTCTGCTGATTACTGGAAGGCTAAATAACTAAATTTACATAACCTAGTACCTATCTAGGAGGGTGCTACATTCATAAGGCTAGATCTTATAGTTTCAGAGTGACTGAGAATCCTCATGAAAAGTAGAAGGAAGGTAAGACTCAACCCATAGTTCCCAGATCTTTTGGAATTTTTTTAGAGTGTTAGTCTATTAGCCATAAGTTTTTAAATAGACATGGTATGAGAAACCAGGGACTGACGTCTTGACGTCTTGACCTCCATGCTCTAGCTATAATCCTTTTGGCTTTTGTTAAATTTTAAGTTGCCAGCTTAAATTGGGTATTGGTACATGCTACTGTTTTTTTGCTAAGCATATCCATACAGATCTTTGTGGAATGAAACATCGTAACTGTGTATAGCAATTGATAGACTTGTCCAGAAAAGCATGACCTTTGGACAGTCCCATCAGATGTAAAATAAGGGAAGAAGGGAGCACCAGCCTAGTGCATTACTTGAGCTATAACTTTATTACCATGACCACACCTGGATCTCAGTCAGGTCGACCTTAAAAAAGTAATTTCTCTTAATGCAAAAAGTTTAAATACTCCTGAAAGAAGGTCCCTCTTGCTCACTTACATGCACAAACATAAGGCAGATTTGGTTTTCCTCCAGGAGAAACATTTCCGCCAGGACGCAGTCCCCAAACTTTACGATTCACGCTTTCTGATAGTCTATCATGCCCTCAATCCCATAGCCAAATCTAAATGAGTTGCCATCTTAATTGCCAAACACCTTCCTTTGACTGTTTCGGACTCCTTATTTGACCCAGATGGCAGATATTTATTCCTCAAAAGGCACTCTAGTTGACAGACCCATCACTCCTGTAAATCTATACACACCAAACAGGTACCTTTTTTCCGTGGGATAGCCTCCCTAATCTCCTCCTTCCAATCGGGAATGATGATCTGGGGGGGGGGGGGGGGGGGAGACCTCAATGTCCCTCTATGCCCTCTATTAGATTCCTCTTCTGGCACTTTGTTTCTGCCCTAGAGATCTCTGCACCAGATTCATACCCAGTTCCAGGGTCTCCAACTCCACGACTCTTAGAGAGTGCTCCACCCAAACATCAAAGATTACACGTTCTTTTCCTCCCCCCTCATAACAAATACTCTAGAATCGACTACCTCTTGCTCTCTCAAGTGGACCTACCTTTTCTGCATCACTCCTCAATAGATCCTATGTTCCTTTCAGATCACCATCCCATTACCATGACCCTGAGCTTCCCTGAAAAGCATACAAAATGGTGGCGACTCAACACATCCCTCCTCGCTGACATAGTAAACAAGGCTGAATTGCACTCCAAACTTAGGGAATACTTTCAGATTAACCAGACTTCCGATACCTCTTCCGTGACCCAGTGGGAAGCACATAAATGTGTAATCCGAGGGACATTCATTGAAATGGCTACCAAATGTAAACGTGACTGACAGGCGTCCATAAAACTCTTACTGGACCAAGTCAGTTTCCTCAAAAAAGCTCATAAACACACCCAGGCCCAAATAACCTTAGCAGAACTCAGGACCACCCACTCACAGCTGATGTCGGAGCTCGGTAAGGCTGTCAAACGCAGATTTATGGTCTCTCAGAAGCTCTTCTATGAGTATGCAAACAAGGAGTGGTAGATTTCTGGCAAGATCCCTCCTAGACAAAAAAGCAAACTTGACGGTTCACAAAATACGGGGCACCGATGGCTCCCATGGCCTCCCATGGCCACCTCAAACACTTATATTGCCTCCCACTTTGAACGGTATTATACCACCCTATACAACCTTCCCCAGGAACGTCCCCCGCCTAAATCAGAAAAATCTAGATCCACCCTGATCTCGGAGTTATTTCTGGCCCTCCAACAAATGAAACCTGGCAAAAGACCAGGCCCTGATGGCCTTTCTGTGGCCTATTAAAAGACTTTTATAGATGTCCTACGCGATCCTTGTCTTGAGGCTTTCAATTCTTTCAACTCCCCCTCTGCCCCTCCAAATCGGCTCCTGGAAGCACATATCACTGTTATTCCCAAAGGGGGAAAGGATGCAACCTTAGTTACCAGCTATAGGCCAATTTCACTCCTGAATGTTGACGTCAAACTTTATGCAAAAAATTTGGCCTTCCGACTTCTCTCACTATTCCCTTCTCTGGTCAATCTAGACCAACTCGGTTTCATTCCTGCGAGGGAAGCAAGAGACAATGCTACTAAGGTCCTAAAACATTCTCCAATTCCTCCACACTTCTCAACAACCTGGATTCCTCCTTTCCCTGGATGCCGAGAAGGCCTTTGACAGGGTGGCCTGGGACTACCTAAAGGCCTCCTTGTGTGCAGTAGGTCTAAGAGGAAATATGCTTAACTATATAATGGCCCTGTATTCCTGTCCAACGGCCCCAAGTCCAGGTTAACGGCTACCTGTCGAGACCCTTCCCTCTTACAAAACGGCACACGTCAAGGGTGCCCCCTATCACCGCTTCTTTTCATTCTAACGTTAGAACCTTTGCTTCGTATGCTCCGCGCGAACCCCAATATCAAGGGAATTTCTCTTGCAGGACACACGCATAAAAATTGCCGCTTACACGGACGATGTCCTACTTTTCCTATCTGAACCCAGAACCACTTTACCCAACCTTCTTAAAGACTTTCATTCCTTCCAATTCCTCTCCAATCTCAAAATTAACTTCTGCAAATCCTGTGCTCTGAACATTACCATTCCTCATGAGGAGGTCGTTTTTTGTAAGTCTCACTTCCCGTTCATATGGGAAAAGGATGCCCTTACCTATCTTGTAATACAGCTCCCTAGCACTCTCCAAGATCTTTACGCTAAAAATTATATCCCAGCCCTTTGAGCCATTCAGGAAGACCTCTCGAAATGGCATCGTCCATGGTTTTCCTGGTTCGGAAGGAATGCAATCCTTAAAATTAATGTCCTTACCCGCCTTCTTTACCTCTTCCAGACCATTCCTATCCACTTGATGCCTGCCTTCTTTGCCCTTTTTAGAAGACTTTGCTCACAGTTACTTTGGAGTTTTAAACACCCTCGTATTTCCTTTTCTCAATTGTCCCTCCCCAAATCCAAAGGGGGGTTTAGGGCTCCCCGATCTTCAAAAATACCACTGGGCCTGTCATCTTACCAGAATAATAGACTGGAATGTGCACTCGCCCACAAAAGCTTGGGTTCACCTCGAGGACTCTCTCCCTCTCCTCTGGCACTGATTCCTTGGCTCCCAGCTAAACATACTCCTACGATGCTTCATACACACCTGCTGATTGGAGCGACCTTGAAGATCTTTCGGTTGCCGTGCAAATCTGCTTCCATTTCTGATGCCCCTAACCCTCTTACCTTCTTGCGCATGAATCCGGAATTCCCACCGGCATGCACCCATCCTTTCTGGTTGAGCGCTGGCCCCACCAACATGTTCGTGCAGAACACTTCTTTTGTAATGGCCAATTGAAGACCCCCAGCCTTACTCACCCCCCTACATGATGGATCGTGCCTTTCCCTTTTGGGCCTATCTCCAAATTAGACACTTTCTCCGTGCCAAAGCCCACTACAACAAATGGACCTGTCCTCTCACTCCCTTCGAAACCCTTTGCTCCAAAACAGAACCCCAACGACACCTAATTTCCACCATGTATCTTTTCTTATTTGGAGACCGAATCTCTCTCACACTTCTGGCTTGCAGAGACTTGCAGAGATCGATCTGTCTTCCTCCGACTGG